TATATATGAATTAAAACATGAGTAAAGGATTACCTCTTGTAGCATAGATTCAGCCTTTGTAGAAAAGGAGTCGTCCAAGTGTCCGGCCTCTATCGATAATCCACGCGATCTATAAGCATCCATATAAGAAGCAATCAAAAGTTATGGAGTGATAGCTCTACCTTTTTTTGACTTGTTTAATTTTTCTTTTTAGAAATCTATTTCCGGATATTTTGCGACAACCCCGAGAGAGGGGAGAAAGTTGGCATGCTTATTGAAGAAAAAAAAAGTATTTTCTCTCTTTATTTTCCGATACTAGGTGTCTCCTAATTAATTCCCATTTCTTTGTCGCATCTCTTTCTTATATTTATAGAGGGTGGTTGTCTTGTCCTCCAAGGATAAGGAAGTGGTGACAACTAGTCCTATATGGATTCTAGGTTTTTGTTTCCTAGTCTTCCAAGAATTAGGAGTTGTAATGCATGTGGGTCTTTTTGATCTTATTCTTATAAAGTATGATCCTTATCCAATAAAGGGTCAATTTTATCCTCACACCAAAATATCTTATAGGCTTTTAATTAAACCTATTGGCCCAAACTCTTTTGGCCCAATTAATTATCGATTAATTTGAACTATCCAAATAAATTGGGTTAGATATTTTTAAGAAGGCTACATTATGAAATAATTTTTCAAATTATCCTTAAACCTAAATTAGGAAACTACTTTCCTTTTTAGGTAACTTATAAACTTTCCATTTTAGGAAATTTTTTCCAAAACATGAAACCTTCCATTTTCAAAAACTTATTTCAAAATAGAAAACTTTTTCCAAAATCTATGCTTCTCTTTTATTATTTGAATGCTTAAATATATGTGTGTGACTTAATAAGCTCCTAGATATGTTGGCAATTTATCAAGAATAAAAGATATCTCTTTTATCTCTTGATATAGAAATCAAGTTTGACATTTAGTAAGGCATCATGACTACCCAATTACCTACGAGGATTAATTAATTTATAATTATCTTTTATGAGCATAGTTACCATACAATTCAATTCTCATGTTAATTTATCATAATGTGATCTTAAACTTGGTTTTTAGTTTGTTTGATTATGATCACATAAGTTTTCTTCGATTCTAAAATGTCTTAGCTTTAGAGTAAACCAACTATGCTCATTGGTGTACTCTTATTATGACCATAGATTTCATGAGTAGACATTTATTGAAGATGTGAGAACTCCTTTAGCATATAAGGAATGACATTTCCTATCTTAGTCATCCACCTATCTTTATTAGATTCATAGTACACCCAACGAATCGTCTATGTGCAGCTCTTGACTAAGCCCATCAAAATGAGTGTCAAAGTATATAAATCCTCTAATGAGATATCTATGATGACTTCAAATCAAAGGACTAGTTGTACCTATCTCATATGATATTTTCATAAGCTAAATCAAATGAGTTCTCATGACGAGTCAAGTCTAGTGATATGTTCTCTAACATTTATCACCTAAGTGCTTGATTTGGTATCATCATACCAATAGGTGTGAGATCTCTTAGTATTATCTTATAGCATGAGCATAGCACTCACAAGTCTTACCGTATGTAGTCAACGTCCATTCTTGATAATGCTATGACTTAGGAAATTTAATAATATCATCTAAGTGCATTAATATTTATCTAATATTTTTTTATCAATCATTAATGCACTCGCATATCATAAGGACTTCTATCTAATTATATCAATAAATATAAACAACAAGAATTAATAGAAAGACTTCTTTTATTAATAAAATAAAAAATGGAATATTACAATAAGTCAAACCATCCAATCAAGGTTAGATCTTGAGCATCTACACTAGCATTTCTTTATCCATTGAAGCTACAATCACCATTGCCATCGCCAATCCTCACCCAAACTCCTTCAACCGGACACCAAGTAAGATTTTCCTTTTGATTAATTTTATTTGTACCAATGTACCCTCAGCGACTCCCAAAACAAATTATGGCGAGTGATATTCATCACCACCATCTCATAGAAACCCTTTTTTTTTTTTTTAATTTCACTCACTTTCGTATTTGATTTTACGAGAAAAGAGGGCTTTGATTGCTCACAAGGGTTAGATTTTAGGGTTATTCTATCAATTATAGATTTTAGATTAAGTGACCTGGTTGAGGGGAGATTTAGAAGAAAGTTAGAGGGAGTAGAAGAAGCTGGGGTTATAAGAGGTGGAAGATAGCAGAAACAAGAAAAGAGTGGTAGAGGAGAAAAAAGATGAGAGAGATAAAAGATTTAGGGTTTTGTTCAATTTTAGTTTGGAGAATGCTTTGGAAAAATGATAGAGATATTAGTTAAGCTAGACTTAATAGAAGAAAGGTTGGACTAAACCCAACCCACCAAATTAAGGCTTGGGCTGATTTGAGCCTAACTTAGGCTCGAACCAAAAAAAAAAAAAAAGTGAGAAAGCCTAATGGATCGGAGGCCGACTAGTCCCAAAAAGCCCAATTCCCCTAATTTAGTTTTTTTCTAGATAAGTCAATTCTGAAATTTTCAATGTATGCCTTTTATCTAATGCCTAGTTTAGATTTAATATTTCGAATTATTGATTTTTTTAATATATTTATTTATTCACTTAGTGAATGTTTAGTTTTTAGATTTTATTTCGATAATTAGGTTACATAATTAACGAGTGGATGAATCATTGAGTCTCCTAATTCTTAGGGATCGATGACGACTCCCCACCAATGAAAAAAATGATAAAAAGAAAAAATAATATAAAAATAGAGGAAAAAAATGAAAATGATTAGAGAGAGAGAGAGAGAGAGAATGCTAGGTAAAAAAAAGCAAAAAACATATAAAAAAAATACTTGGTGAAAAATTAACAAAGTCTCGCATCCAATAGGGACTAATGTTAACTCAAATTAATCACGTTTTAATAATTAGGTCCTTCTCCAACATACTAGTTATATTAAGATTTAAATTAGATCCGATGTTGAATTGACTACACGTCCAATGGAGGGGTCTCGACAATCGTTTTAATATGATGCCACAAACAAAACAAAAAAGGTTTAGGAAAACTTGGGATTTTGATTTAGGATCAATTTGGAAAATAGAAATTTTAGGAGATAAATTCTAAGACTAAACTAGACATGATACCCTTTTCTTTTTAGGAAATGATGCTTTTACGTAATTGATATCTTCTCAAAAGTATAAATAACTCCTTACCTTAAAATTTTTAAATTAGTATTAATTTTAGGTTTTTAGTTACCTCTAATACTAGGTGACGACTCTAAAATTAATAATAACTCATATCCCCGAATAAACAAAATACAACAAGATAAATCATAAATTTTTTGAAAAAATTCACGAATGTTGGATAATGACATTAATCATTATATGTTTGTTGTAATTATAATATGCACCTATCTTGTATTGTCTATTAAGATTTCATCATAATATATACATATTTTAAAGAGTCTCTTAAGATTCTCAACTCATACCTATGTTGTGTTTGACAAGATTTAAAATATTTTGTTAGCATTACAATTGCAATAGTGGTTATACTTCAAAATTTTATCCTTCCACTAAATTATTATCAAATTTCTTAATTTATGCAATATTTCTTAAATTAATAATCTTTATATATATATATATATATATATATATATATATATATATATATACTTTGCACGTGAAGTAATTGGTAATATATGTGTTAGATGAATTATACGGTAACTATGATTATAATTATGACAACGTTTTAAATTGTTTTATTGAAAATTCTTAAAAGTTTTTATATTCTAAATACATTTTGATGAAACTGTTTTAACTACTGAGTGCGTAAACAACTTTAGTTAAAACTTGATCACACATTTTAACAAATTCCATTTCAATTAAATGGAAAAAAAAAGGGGGTTATATTAGATCAGAGGAGCAGTTTTTCAATTTTGTGGAAAAGTATATAATTTAGAAAGAGTAGGGGTTGTGGTTGGTAAAGAACGAAAAGATTTTGGGGATTTTTAAGGAATAAAATAAAGAAAAAGTAAAAAGTGGACTGGTTGGCAAGGGCCTTGAACCCGACGTGAATCGAACACGCAACCTTCTGATCTGGAGTCAGACGCGCTACCATTGCGCCACGGATCCACTGGTGTTTGTGATGGAAGAAAAAGATATATTGATAATATATTACTGACCAAACTAATCTCAAATAGAAAAACACTCACCATTTCATGGACAAACTTACCTGCCGATCTTTGTTGGTGGGGGTAGAGGGTTTGCCTTATTCAGTCTGATATGTTATGGTCGTACAAGGTGGCATAGCTATAGCTATTGGAAAGCTGAGGATCGTTCAAGGTTGGTACTGATATTTTTATTTGGGTTAATTATTTTTATAAACATGAAGGATATTAAGTAGCTAGGTTCTATTCTATTAATTGTATTTTGTTTTCATTAATGGATTGGATGGAAAAAATAAATGCATTGTTTAGATAGGATATTATAAATGTTAAAAAAAAAAACTATTGTTTGAAATCCAATTAATATATTTAAGCGGCCTTTCTGTTCCTTTATTGAAAAATTCACCAATCGAGGAATCTGTAGTTAAGAGACTCATCCAGTAAAGTAAATTAAGTATATATTGTCTGTTGATTGAGACAAGTCACATGAAAACAAATCATGCTTTTTGCTTTCTTAGTATCCCACGAATCTTAATTACACACACCAAGTAATTCTTAAGTCAAAGTCGATCATACAACGACACTGAAAAATGCCTCTCCTGTTTGTTTTTCATTCAGGCTTCAATTCCTATGTCGCTTGTGAATAAAGGGTAGAGATTTTGTATACTTAGAATAGCAGGTAGGGTGAGGTTTAGGGTGGCTGTGAGGTGATGTTGGTTTGACAGCAACAGGGTGATGGGGATTGGCTGCAAATTGCAGCATGTAGGTTGGGGGTTATAGGGTGATGGAGGCTGCTGGATTTGCAGCAGTAGGGCGAGGTTTAGGTTGATCTTCAGGGACTGGTGAAACGCATGAAGGCTATTTCCAAAGTGCTTGATGTCTTTCTTGAAAAGATTATTGATGAGCATCTTCAATACAGGGAGAAGGGCAAAAACAAGGACTTCGTTGATGTCGTGCTAAGTTTCATGGAATCTGAAGAAACTGACTACCATATTGATCGAGGCTGTATCAAAGCCATAATGCTGGTAAATGAACATTTAATTATCTTTTTTAATCTTAATCAAAGACTTAAAACCACACAATAACTTTAGCTATTCCTACATATCATGTTCTCTGTTAAATGGCTCCTTCGGGGATCCTGTGTACTTTCTTGTCCATCAGTGAGGTATCACGACAATTTCTTTTTGGAAAACTGTAGCTTTTCGTCATCCGATGGAACAAGAATATATGTGAAAGCAGAGTTAGACTTGATGACATTGTCTATTAATAGCCCTAGTGATTCACAGACAGACACACAGCATGATGGTTTGCTTTATGCTTGAGAACTATTAAAAAAGCAGACGCAGATTTAGCTATTTCTCAACTACGTGCGACTGTCACTTTCAAAACCATTTTGATGTGTTCTTTGCTGAGTACTTCCAAGCAGTTTTAATGGAGATTATGAAGAGAAAAAACAGAGGAAGTGTAGGAAGCCTCATGCCTGGGAACTTAATGCCGTTTTTCCAAAACAGATACGGATTCATTGGCCAAAAAAAAAAAAAAAACGAGAGAGAGAGAGAGAGAGGAAACGAGCATCACAAAAGTAGAAGTCTTGAGGAATAAGGAAAGCCACAATTACAAACCCTAATCATTCCGAAGGAAAAAAGCTAAAAACTAATCAGCAATTCAGGAAATCTCGAACCTACACAAAGGACAAAATTTGCTCTTTTCCAACCATTTACGAATGCACCCACAATGATAAACATGAGAACAAGGCAATCGAGTTGCTTCGCCACCCATCAAAAGTTCCTCGAAACAAACTGCACACGGCTGCTTAACATAGCCTTCTTCTTCAACTTTAACAATCTCCAAAGCCTCAACGGATGATTTACTGGCAGGCACCAAGTTAATCTCACCCTCAATTATATCATCTTCCGACGACTCAAAACCTGGTGGGACATCAATTCTTACCCTCATGTACAAAACCTTATGACTCAAGTAAATATTATCAACAGCCATTTGCCGAGCACAAGCTAATATCCTGTCAATCATGAACGCCCTAACAGGGATATTCATATCACCAAGAATATCACGGATAATTGATCTTGATACTTCTTGGTCGTCATTCAATAACCGATCACGATCAACTAAGAAATCTTCCTCTTTCCATTCACATTCCACGTCAAAAAGCTGTGATTCGTAGTCGCTGAGGTCGTCTTCGTCAAGTATTGGAGGCATGAAAGAGGCTTCGACCTCAATGCAGAACTTGTCACATGCCATGCAATCATCTCCGGGTTTGACTATGTCGAGTGGAGTAAGATGGAAACGCAAGTCACCAAAGTCTTCCATATCTCTAAGCAGTAGCAGAATCAAAAACTTAAGAGGCGGAGACTGAGACGAAGGAGTGAGAGAGAGAAGTGGAGACTTTGTTATGTAATGGGAATCCTTATACAAGACCTAATCCCAAGTAGGTTCAGAATCCCGAAACAACCAGGAGCCGTTCTGACCGCATATATTGCATATTTGAATGAAATTTACTTAAATTACGCGTATATGATCATTATTACCGATATTATCTGTTTAAGCAGTCAACCCTACCCTTTTAAATTAGAGCTGCTTTCTTTTTTATTTCTATTTCAATTACTGACTTTATTTCCCATTATTTATAAAACAAAATGACTTGCTTCCATTTGTTGTGAGGAAAAACGAAAAGCAGATCAAAGGAAAGACATTAATTCTGTAATGATTCGCGTGTATATATTTTTTAATGGTATGAGTGCATGCTATAAAAAATGGAGAAAGATAGAAACAAGAATAACAAAAAGATTTTATCATAAACCCAATTGGTCCTTTTTTTTTGGTATAGTCTGTTATGGACCAAACAATTTTACAAGGGTTTCTACGTCAAACCCTTATTCAATCTCTAGGGTCTCCATGCTGACCAGAGATAGTGAACTAAGACGACAATGAAAGTTTCAAAATATTTTGACGAGAAGGTTCCAAGGATGACAGGATTGATGACCAGAAATTGGATGGTAACCTACTCTTAAAGTCCCTCAACTGATTAATCACTCGGTTGACGGTTTCCTCTGTTGCTAAAGTGTCATCATCAGCCCACAGTATCTGGAAAATCACATACATATTTCCAAAGTAATTCAAACATGTCCACGTGATTGCGATTATTAATGGATGCTTCTGCAATTTCATGCAGCAAGAATATGAATAAGCATTAAGCAAGTGCGAATAACCCAAACACCTAAGCATAACAATGAGAATAATCTCTCATGCCTGAACATCCATCACATAGCCACAGAACAAATAGGCATAAACAAAAATAATCATTATTTCCTTCTCAGAACTTGCAGAAACTTGTGAAAGCTATGATGTTTCAATAAATTCATTGGCTGCTCCTAAAAGTCCGCACTATATTATAGGTATTTTGATAAGTATATAAAGCACCATATACAGTGTAATATGCAATCGTCCTACACATATCTGCAAACCTGACAAGTACCTAAAAAAGCAACAATTCAAAATGGAAGAGTTGCAAAAAACCTGAAACAGTCTGAAATTTTCAATTGAAAATGCACAATTCAATTGACAGTTTTGTATATGGAAAAAAATCTTCTATTCCAAAACAGGTGACCATAAATCTAGATTTATTAATCAGACAAAGCCTGGTGTCTTTCTAAAGGCCAAAGACTGAAGAAATTTTAGAAGCAATATCTTTTTTATGAATTAGAAAAATAGAAGCTGTGCCAAACAGTATTTTAATATCCCTATTCTAATCAAAGTATTCTATTAGATTTGGGCTATAACAATGATCCTTTATGGCCTTTATTAACGAATAAATTCTCATGGCTGGGATTGTGATCACACACATATATGATTCTGGATCTTACAAAAATTTAGAAAAGTGGAAATTGTGAAATCCCAAGAGATGGGAAAGTCAGAGATTTTATGAGTTACCATTATGCACCACAGCCATTTTATAACCGAAAGCGAGTAATACCCACAGCAGGTCAGAAAGAAATTACCTCTGCAAAAATAGCAACGATTTTGGGAAGATAAGCAAAATCTTGGAAAAGAAGTTTTTCCTTTGACCTGAGAGGATAAAATGCAACAAATAGGCATACTATCAGAAGAAAAATCACTCAACAGTTGCTTTTGACAATATTTATAGTTACACCAGCTTCATATGGTAAAATAAATATTATACAGCTTACATGTCAACAACTGAACACAGCAGATCATGCGCAATTTTGGCTTCAACTATATTGTTCTTTATTGGCAAATGGCTTAACCATGTACGAAACACCTGCTAAGTAGATTAGAAATAAATATGTTAAGAGGCTGTAGAAGAGTAGATTGCTTATACAGGCAATGGAAAGTAAATTTAACTTGGATAGCAGGAAGAAGAAACATGATAGAAATGGAAGTCAGTGAAATTAGCAAATGACCATGCACACATAATCCAATTTGAAAAAGATAGGAGGTAGGAAGATTTTACATAACAAATTTCCTGATCACTTATCAACGTAGAAATCTTTCCTACAAGTAGATAATATCAAATCATAAAATTAGCATTTCTAGCAAAATTCAGCATGGAAAAGCCTACTGGAACTTCTAGCGTAAAGTTTATAACTCTTTCATATTACTGGCAGCATAAATATAGTATCAAATTGCTTCCAAGGACTGAGAACTGTAGAAAATTCCCTTTGGGACCTGTAGAAAATTTCAACAGCAACTTTCTGCAAATTACATTAGATGACTTAGGCCATGTTCATTTGTAGACATTTCAGATTGAGTCTATAGGTTATGGCTTTAAAAGGTTGCAGTAAATTACAGCTTTGATTTTATAGTTCTTACAACCATCCGTGACAGTAAGAGCACTTACACCTGAATATTAATTGCAGTCACAAACCAGAATGAGACAGAGTTGCCTCAGCTTTAGCACCAGACACAAGTATCATATTGAATCTCTTCAGAGATACAAAATTGATAATTGTGACTCCCAAGCCATTTTTGCTACCTAAAGCCAGCAAAATAAATTGGTCTGTGATACCAACCCTTCAAGATTTATGATTGAGACCTATGGACAGAATAAATTATCCCAGAAGATAAGTTAAGTCCATGAAATTTGTCAACATAAATAAAGTAACATCACTGACTTGGCTTCTTTTTTTTTTTTTTTTTTTTTTGACAAATGTCAAAGATTTGCTTTAGTTGATACCATAAAGTCAGTAACTTCATCATTCTATAATCTATTTTGCAATCTTATCACTAACTCAATTAAAAGATAGCTTATGGCAAACATTTTCCCCAAGATTTTGGAATATTGAAGAAATTTAAAACATTCATTATATTTATGTATTTAGAAGCTATAATCAATATATCTATGAAGAAGTTTGTAATTATCTAGTAAGTTAATCATAAAGTCAGTTCATCACATTATCTTTTCTAATAATGGAACAATAAACAATAGACAGTCACTGACTTCAGTCACAATAATGAAGTTTAAGGAACAAGTGCCAGTTCAAGATATCAACAATCAGCCTTAATCACTCCATTGAGGTTTTAAAATTGCAAGTAGATAGTGATAGTTGTTGCTGGAAATTTAGTTTTGGTAGTTGGAAAGTTATCAAGAGGTGTATGCATAAATATTCTCCTAGTCACGTTAGTACTGCTGCCTTATTACCGCCACACATTACCCTCAATTGAAGTTATTAATTGAAGTTATGAGAAAGTCTTTTAGCCGGCTAGACTGCTCAAGATGCATAAAGAAATCACTTTGCTGTACTTCCAGACCAAATTCAACAAGACTTAAGGTTACACATTTCGATCCTAGGCATGCCTCCCTGAACCAAAAATATAAGAAGCAAGAGAAGTTATGTACCTCAGTTGCATTGATTCTGTCCTTATGGAACAGGTATATTTCTCCAAGAGCTGAAATGGCAGCATCATGGGCCAGTATGTAATCTCGGTGAAATGCCATTGGATGGCCTAGGCTTGTATTTAGAGCAGAAAGGGCTTCTGCCAAGTGAAAACAATGGGAATTTTTTGCATAAATATTGCATGCAGGCAATAACAGGACTACAAGAAGAATAAACATGCTACCTCCAACCAGAGGTTTGAATATGGATCCACCAAAGGCTGCAGCAACACCAATCCCATGTGCAACTACCTGCAATAATACATGTTCTGATAAGAGATATTCACTACTTGTGGGGTGCACAACATCATTGTCTTACTAGGCTGGGACAAAAAGAGACCTCTTGAACTTCTGGTTCGTCATCTTTGCAAGCTTTAAATAGCAACAAGAGTTTACTCTCACAAAACCTGCTTTATCAATTGGTATTATAGTGCATTCAAGTTACATTCCTTAGCCAGATTAAAAAGGATTAGGCTTACTTAAATGCTTCTTCTCGGAATTCCTCTACAACATCAGTGAAAATTTTCAAGGCAATTTTTCTTTCTTTAAGTGTTTTATCATTAACCTGCGAGCAAACAAGCAATGAATAAATGGAGCAGACTATTTCAATCAAAGAGTATTACATAGACTAAACAGCTATTTAGTGAAGTTATCCAAGTTTAACAATCAATTGTGGACCGAACAGACGAGAAATATATTGAGTCAACTATGCATCAAAGGATATTAAACAAAAGCTACTACTTGATTAATAAGCAACATTTACAAGCAATGAATAAATGGAGCAGACAATTTCAACCAAAGAGTATTACATAGACTAACAGCTATTTAGTGAAGCTATCCAAGTTTGACAATCGGTTGTGGACCAAACAGCAGAGAAACATAGAGTCAACTATGCATCGAAGGATATTAAACAAAAGTAAGCAACATTCACAAGATATACGATTAATGGTTAAGAAATTAATGGAATCAAACAAACGAATACAGCTTATCCATAGGATCGATTAGCTTGAGTTCTCCATCTCCCTGTTTCTGAACATCCACTGGCTCACATTCATAACATGTTATTCAAAGAGTAAAAAACTAGGCACTGGTAATCTGCCCCACTCTTTATCAATTTAGCATTGGCTAGAGAATCACCCTATACATTCACCTCCTTAACATATTCTGTTTTCAACATCATGCCTCATACCCGAATGATATGATTTAACAAAACAACTTTCAACAGAATACTGAAGATAATTATGCCAACAAGTTTTTCAATTAAGAATGGAATGACATTGAAGCCTAAAATGCAACAGAAGGCCAATTTTCAAGCATGGACATGGCCATCCAACCTCTTATACGGATGCAAATGTTGCTTTCTAAGCATGAGACACCAACTGCATGCTGATCAGCCACTATTAAGGGAATCACAGGAAACTGATCTTATGCTAGAAAGGGGAAAAAAGGAAGAAAGAAAGAATGAAATTTACCCACATATATTCCATAGGTGATAAAAGCTGGTTGAAGAATTGTGACAAGGAAGCCTTGTAAGTTTTTATGAAGGTCTTCAAGCAAGTACAAACCTTTTTCAAGGAACAAATATGGGGTGAGAAATAACACTAACCATAATGTCCTAATGTAAATAAGAGCAAGCCAAGCGGCATCAGAATCAATTATCCAGTGAACAGTTATAGAACTACATACTTTCTTACTAACTCTTTCCCCTTGCTCTAATGATTCTTCATCTTCAGAAATGGATATGCTAGTTCTGAGAACGTCCATTATTACATCCAAGAAGCGCTTGATCTGGTCTGTATTTAAAATAGGTCCTGATATCTGAAGGAGAGAAGTTTGTGCTGATAAGATAAGAGGCATCAATTCTTCCCTAGAGGCATACACTATTCAGCATGAGGAAAGTAATCCAGTAATAAGGGTGGAGCTATACAAGCTTCCTGGTCAATTGGAGACCATACTCAACTTCAAATAACAATTTATACGTGCCGTGGAGATTAAGTGTGTGTTTGATAATGCAAGGTGCTTTTACAAAAGCACGCTTGAGCTGAAAAAGCATTAAATTTGATGCTTTTTCAAGTTTTTTTTTTTTTTCAACATCAGCATATCAAAACCATCCAAAAGCACCTAAAAGGCATCAAATTGATGCTTTTCAGCCCAAACGCACTTTGAAAAGCACTTTCAAACGCATTGCCAAACACAACCTAAAAGTAGAGGAAATTCCCAGAGTATTAGTATATGGAGTAGTTCAAGATTTCTCCGGCTAAATTAGTTTTCTTTTCAAGTTTAGAGAGAAGGAAAAGTTGAAATGATCAGTCTCCTCTTCATTCCATACTGGGAATCTTCTATACTAGGTAGAATGCCTAAAAAAATAAACTTATATCAGAATATCTAACACCAAGCAACTAATTTTGAGCCATGACTTCTTTTTTCCTGAGGTGTGGCCTGAGTTTACCTCATACATGATTATCTTTCTCCCTTTAGTTGACACATAAAATGCATTTTTTTTCTCATAGGACAAAAAATGCATAGTCTTTGTTGATAACATACACAATGAAAAATGAAATGCATATAGAAGAAAGAAATTGCTCAACTAATATAGGCAGTTTAGCTACATTAAAGGGAGGGAGGGGGGAGGGGGTGGTGGTGGTGGGGGGATGCTACATACCTCTAAGCAATCCTCTAAGGAGTCCAAGATTACTGCACTAATTTTAATGACTTCTTCCTACAAACAAATACTTGTAACAATTAAAGACTTTCCATCATCATAAGATATGAGATTCAATTCAATAGTAATACTAACAATTATGAATTACAGGATAACCTTATCTAGTGCTTCCACCAAAGCTGGTATGACATCATAACACAACTTTTCAAAACGAGATTTCTGAAAATGATTTTTCTCCCTTGCTGCTTTAGATGATTTTAGTATTTCTGGCATGGCTGATTACAAAGCAGAAAATGAATTGTGTTTATTGGAGATGGTTAAGAAATGCATATAAGAAAATGACAAGAGACGACATTGGCATTTAATTACCTAATACAGCAGCTATTCTAACCTCATCATGCTGATAAAAACTGAGAAGTGGAACTAAAGTTTCAGCAACCTGCACAGATTCTCAGCCATTCTAAATTTTGTTCACATTTGTTCAGATAGGTCAAGATATGGAAACTATTACGCATTACAAAATTAGCAACCTCAGCAATCCATAAATCAATGCCTTCCTTCAATTCAGCAACACAATTACGCAACAATACACAAGCTGTGGCTTTCTCCACCAGAGTTTCAGCTTTGATCTGAATCATACTGTTCCTTATTGGTGTTCCACACAGAAAATGGATACATCAGCCAAAAAAAAAAAAAAAATCCAAAAACAGCATGGTTTATACTTGATCCAGTACTTATTACTTGGGTTCCAGTTTTGATGAATTATTGAACTAATTTTATTATGATAGATTAAGTTGTTTAGAGTTTGCAAGACATATCTTCAACATTTCAAGAGTGAAGTTAATTTAAAATGATTAATTATTCATCAGTTGCTCATATGCTACAACCAGAATTGTAAGGGTTGGTGCCGGTTTCACCGTTTCAGCATGACTTAGTCAAGCATATTTTTGTTGTACAAGTGTTTGCAAGTTTAGATGAATCATCCAAACATTAACAGAATGAATTTTTGGAATTTCTAATAAGAAGACTCACCTTTCATCTGGTTCTTCAATGTTAGCATCATCAGGCAAAGTGAGCTGTGCAGATTGAATCAAACAAGGAATGGCTACTTCTATATAAGGTTGGAACTCTTGGCCTAAGCATTTACAGAGTCTGGCCCATGCCTGCAACATCTTACATGTTTCAACAAGGTGCTAGTACAGAATGAATTTTTTTTGCAGTGGAAGTTGTACAACTGCTAACATACTTTCAACCGTTCAATTCTCATTGGGTCATGTATCTCCAGATTTGATATAGGTGCAGAAACAAGAAGTTCAACAACCTTGCACAAGAGAAACGAGGTTAATAAGGCTATTGTATGAATGTATCCCAACCGTAACATTATACTGAAAACTACATGACACGTGAATCTAAAACATTTTTGTTTTTGGTTGTTTCAAGAGGCTTCTAACCCAACTGCATCCAAATTCAGTACAGTATGTAAAGAACTATAAACTAGATAGTCTAATTCAGATTACTGTTTTCAGATGAGAGGAGAAAGGAACATAGTAACATTTTATAAACTACGTAGTTTAATTCAAATTACTGTTTTAGGTGAGAGAAGAAAGGAAAGTAGTAACATTTTTTAATATATGCAGTTTAGTATTGTGCATTTATATAGTATTTGGCAGCACAAACAGAAACGGTTTTCTTTGGATAATTTGGATAAGGGCATTTTCAAATAAAATGTGTTTACTTTGTCTAATACGTTTTTGTTTTCAATTCCCTTTGCTGGTGCCTAGTTATACATATTGTAACATATTTCTGCAGGCATATTACTTCATTTTAGGTACCTCAGGCAGGATTAACAAGCAAATAACATCAAAACTCCTCACAACCCTATCTAAAAGCTGCATCTTACATTGCCATTACTGATATTACCTGCTGAGTATCATCACCGAACTTCTCCTTTCCAACAACTGTCCAAACCACTGTAATGCATGCAACAGTTGCAGAAAGGAGCATGCCATTAGATTCCCCTTTTGCTTTCATCATCACAACTTTTAGGTAAGGCATAACTGCTCTGTAATATTTTAGAAACTGGTCCTGCAAAAATACAATAGTTAATATTTAAAAAACCAAAAAATTTTAAAATAAGCCACAAGTAACTCTTGACTCTTAAGTGGTACCTGTGATGACTTAGCAATAGCTGCTAATGCTGACAAAGCCCACTGTTTCAATAGTTGTTTTCCTTTCTGGATTGTGCAAATGCAGAATTAACATTAAGACTGCAAATAAGATATGAAGTATAGTTGCATATGGACTCAGGCTTCCTTATATACATAAATGCCATCTGCATGTTTTTTTTTTTTTTTTTGTGTATATCAAGGAAAGCTGAAAAGAAAAGGAAAAAAACATGCTAGACCACCATGAGATGCATTCACAAAAGTATGTGACTTGTCATGAATGAATGCATCTTCAATTACAAAGATCAATTAGTTTGAAGGTGCTACTTCACCTGTAGGCATCTGAGCAATTTACTGATAATCTCATCAAGGTGAGGTTCTAACATATTTGAAGTGCAATCCTCAACAAAGTAATATGTTGCCATAGCAGCTTGCACCTGAAAAGATAGAACAGGGAATTACATGAAGAACTTTTAGCCACAAAACAAATGTGTCTTGTGTGTGATATTGCAGTGCACTTAGATGTGCATGAGTAAATGCACATATGAATAACTATATAACCAGATATCTGAGACGGACAACTGAGTACAACTAAAGCTTAAATCCAACTACGAGGATTGGATACAAATATTTGGTAGACGACAAGATTCTGTAAACAAGAGAGAGCAGATAATTAAACTTCATTCCAAATGAACAAAAATCAACACTACAAAAGCTGCGATTTCTACCATGATTTCAGTTCTAACAGCCCCTATACAAGTTCATACTCAACATGCTTCTGATATGTCAATTCTGACTGAGTTTCATTTCATGACTCAAGCATTTTAAGCAGACCAATAACAACCCTAGATTGGTAGAAAAAATCACAGTTAGATTCAATTTCAAGCGCACGAAGACAAAAAATTACAGCAGGGCTTCTGTCAGCAAGATGTTGATGGACTTCTAAAAGTGCCAGGGCAAGTCAGGTTTCATTCAGCTTCCCATTGCATGACTTGGACAACTTAGACCCTCTTGTTGATGTCTGTAGAAATAAAACTTCCATATATAGTAGTTGATTGAGCAATTCTAATCCTGTCAAAAATTTCTACATGATCTATGCCAACCAATAACCTGCCTATAAATGCCAAGAGTAAGTAGAAGCTCTATCTAAATTAAAGCAGAAGAGAGAGATGCAAAGACCTTGTTCAATTCCATGCGGTCCAAGTGTAAAAATATTTCAAAAATCTATCCTCATTAGTGTTTTGATGGGAGAAAACAAAAATAAAAAAAGCTTTACACCACATAATTGGCATATTTTACAAAAAGTACATATGTTCTTTTTTTTATTCAAAAACCTACTTTTCTTGTCATTCACGTCATCCTTAGTGTCAATATGTCAGTTTTGAAGTCTCAGAATACCTTGATTAATAGTAATTTAACCAGTAGGAGGTAATGCACAAGATAAGAAACTAAGAACAATGCAGGATTATATGGTGGAGGGATTCAAAACAGCTCAAAATGAAAAACAATGTACCTGAATGTTGGAATCGCTGAAATCATCCATAGATTTTGTTAAAACAGGCAGCACTTTTTGATGATAGTGATTCTGAAATTCAGGGTGTAAATGCTTGGAGAATTCTTCAACTGCATACATAGCCCCCCAACGCACACGATGATGCATGTCGTCAACCATTTTCATAACTGGATTTGCCACAAGATCCACCTTGGACTTTAATGCCTGTAACACAGAAACAAAAAAGTGATATCTACACTTCTTACTTCACTCAATGGAAACACTAAGAAAGAGAGGAGGAAATCATTTTTGGGATAATAAATGGAGGACTGAAGAAAACAAGTTTGAACCAGTAGACGGAAGCATCACATTTAAGGATTTGAAAAGAAGTTTGCTGCAGAGCTGTCATTCAAGTTCTTTTTATCTCATTAAATGAACAAATCCAAAAGGTAAAATCTTACATATAAGTTTTGAACAGAAGGTCGAGCTTCCATACCTTTGAGCAATTTTTTGCAATAATGGTCAGTGAACTAATAGCAGCACGGCGTCTTTGCCATGCCTCAGAACTAAAGCATGATTCAAATGGTTGAGGAAAGCCCTCCAGAAGAAATCTCCCACCCAATGCTTGTGAAAATCGAGCCATGCTCTTCATTCCCTGGCCAACAAATCTCAATTGCGCTAGATCCATGTCATCACAATTATCCAAAGCCACGTTCTCATTGATAGTTGCAATCAGAGATAACAATAGAGAAAGCATCCTCTTGATATGCAAATCCCCTGTATTTACCAAAATGCCGCAGCCCCTTTTATCTTCAGTTAGAACTAGCACACATTCTATCGCAAGAAACCTTGTTCTTTCTTCATATTCAGGATTCTCCATGATACTAAACATAAATTTAAGTACCTTAGCAATCTGGTTTCTCAAGAACCAAGCTTCTGTCCTCGCCAACGCAACCAATTGATCAAGAATCAGCCGCGCATACTCCTCTTGACTTACATCAAACATTATTTCACCATTAAAGAAAACAGCATTCATTACTTTTCGCAAAAGATCTTGCAAGAACTCATCATTTACAGGATTCTTAAGACGCAAGATACAACTAAAAGAGGCCTCAACAGCTGCTTCTTTCACCTTCAATGACACCTCACTAGAACTCAATATTTTCTTAAGTTTGTCACACAAAGTTTCAAGACTTTGTTCGAATCTCTTTTCAGCACCATCAATGAAGGACTTGTTAATCACTGAAAGCACCAGTTCCAGCACATCTTCTTTGCCAGAATCCAAATTATCATACAATACAGTAGTGAACTCAGGCCAGTCATCTTCTGGCATGTAATGGGGTTTGAATTGTGATAGAAGTTCGCGTAGAACTGGAACAATCAGTAGTGAATTGTGATCCTTTTTGAGTTCAAGAAGCAAAGGTTTGAAGAATTCTGGCCAGAAGGCATCAGATAAGAGGCCCTTGAAAATCTCAAGAGCAACCGCAGTTGTCGCCTCAGTCATGGTTTCTCTGGGGAAGCTAATGATTTTAGAGAGGCGGTGACAGAGGGGGTAGGGTAGTAGAGTAGTAAGTGTTCCAAGATCATTTGGGAACGATAGGTGAGAACGGGGAGGGCGAATTCGTTGAGAACAGTGATGAGAAATGAAGGGTCGTCTGTGTTTAGGGCATGTTGGGCTGCTGTATTAAGGACTTCTATTGACCTAGGCGATAATGGTGGTGGTGGTGGTGATTCTTCTGGAGTTGATGGTGATTCTTGTGGAGTGGAGGCCATTTGGTAGCGGTGGTGATGAATCTTGCAGAAATTGAGAGAACGTAGGTGGTGGTTTCGTTTTAGAGTCTGTTTGGTAAACAGGTGATTGGAGGGGAATGGTCTTATTTGAAAAAATGGATTTTTTTTTTCAGGAGGGGAATTGAATTTTAACCTCCCAAAACACTAACCCATTTTAACTTCCTCGCTTGGCTTTTTATCTTTTTAATAAAAATCCAGATTTGCCCTCACAACAAAACCCATGCCCTTTTTATTCATCAAAGCAAACAGTTAATCCTCTCTCTCCTCTGCTGTTCCGTACTTCTCCTTCCTATCTTGAAAAATGTTTGTTGTGAAGGAACTAAATATCTAGTGTATGCAGAATTAATTGCACTTCTCTTGATAAAGTCCTAAATCTCAAAAGATGAAGTGGTTTTTCCTTAGTCTGGTATGATTATAGAGTTTGATGGTGGAAAAGGATCGAACTTGGAGGAATACATGCAAAAACAAGTCCTTCTAAGGAAATGAGTCAGAGGATTCTCAAATCAGTATATGGAAATGAGCAAGAACTGTTCTGTTGATACATGTCAGTCTTGATCTTTGTGTGGATCGATTTATCAAAATAAGCAGCAAATTTCTCTGGATTGAATTCATCTTTGGTCTATGATGTCATTTGAATTCTATCCTTGTGTCAGACTTATATTTAGTTTACAATTTTTCTTGGAACCCCATCATCCTCTGTGTAGCAATCGCTGAAATCTATGAATTTAAGATAGAAATCATCATCCTCTGTTGCAGTAGCTTGCCCATCATCATCCATGCCTGCAACCTCAACTGGGTGCAGGATTAAATAATGTGGATACAGTTGGTGCCACACCGTTGCTACTGGATGTAAAGGAATTGGCAACAACCATAAATCATTAATGTGAAAGTCCTGAACAAGTTCACCAGAAAAGAAATCATCAAGATCGTCAAATTTCACCGCACTATCAAAGGCCGGTTCAAGCTCCAAGTGCTGCTGCTGCTGTAAAATCTAAATAGATTGGAAATATTATCCTCGTGTCTCGTAACGACTGCAAGACACAGGGCATTACGTACTTCTCGTGGTGTTATTAAATATAATTTATGCTCTAAAAGCCTATTGAATAACCTATAGATGTAACTTTTGTTACAAACTTCAACTGAAAATACATTATTAAATTTTTTTCATTTTAACATTTTATTTTAATAATTGGGACTGAAATAACTGAATTCGTGATTTTCGATTTTGTCAGTTCTTTTTCTATAAGCCAGAATAAATTCATTTAACTAATGCCTTTTATTTGGTTACCTATCTTTTTTACTTGATTAATTATCATTTTTTAATAATTTAGTTACTTGTATCATTATTATCAAACAAGTAGAATGTTTGAAATAAACTAATTAAATTATTAAAAACTACAACTACATGTTATTAAACTATTACATATTTAACATATCCAAATTCCATTGATGTATAACCTATTTTCCTTTTTACATGACCATCGGTCTAACACTATCCTATATACAAAAACTGATTTATTTATTTACAAGTCTATTTTTCATTTTCTTTGAGCAACCATCTACCTATTCATTACTTTCACTCGCCATATAAAACAACGTGGTTATACCTAAAACATAAACCAAAATACCGAGCATTAAGATCATAATAACGTGAAGTAGGTCTAGCTTACATTTGCGAGATAAGATATATTCGATGAACCAATGGGAGTGATCCTTCAATAATCGACTCGATAGAGAACATAGTCATCAATCTTTACCTTTAGTCCCTACATCATAAGAACTTGATGAGCGATTAGTGAGTAAGTTAATCATGCATGATATGGATGTATGCAAGTGGGAAGCACATGAAAAATCATTTTCATTTTTTTTTTAAATATTTTCCATGCCATGAAATATTTTTCATGATCTTTCGTAAAATCTTTTTCGTGCTTGGACATGCCTTGCCGAGTCTCTAAATGTTCACGTCCGTATATACTCGGTCTTCTATCGAACATCCGAATGTACACGTCTACACACGTTCGGTCTTGTCAAGCGTCCAAATGTGCATGTTTGCACATACTCGATCCAGAAAACCATGAAAGTCATGAAACATGAAACCATGAAATCCTTTCCTTTGCCTTTGAAAAATCAAGAAAATGTTTTTATGATTTTAAAAATTTCCATGACCTTCGTATGCGTATGCATTTTAATGTAAATGTTTAACCTTATTATTCATTAGAATGCATGCCATGAATGATGTGCATGTATGCAATCTTCAATAACATAAAAGTACACATAATAAGTTATTACCTTTCAATTCATCATAATCCAAACAATGAAACTTTTAACACAATACACCACACCCACATCACATTTGGCAAGATCAATCCATCACAAGATATTGCACTCAAGCGCTTGATTCATTCACATTATGCGTAGAACATAGGCGACCATGTCAAAACACATAATCGGACACTATGAACACGTGTAGTACAATTAGCTAACCCCGAAAACACCAAAACCATTAAAACCCTAAATTTTTCTTCATTTGGCCAAATGCACATCTAGCTTATGCTAGGTGAATTTTTCAATTTCAATTCCAATTTTCATGCTAAACCATCTAAATGTACTTCAATAACATGAAATCAACCAATTAAACATCAATATACCAATTACACTAAAAATCATAAATTTTACCATTTATAGAGAATGAGGTCCAAGTGGAACTAGATTATTTTTCAATTTTAAGGCCAATTCTCATGCTAAATCATTCAATTGCATCACAATAACATGTTTTCAAACCATCAAAAATCAATTAAACAAAAGCATCAAAAACCCTAAATTCAATTATTTCGATCGAAACTTTCACCATGAAGTAGGCTAAGGAATTTTTGTTTCTAACACTTGTTTTCATGCTCAATTAACATATTCTAACTTCAATTTCATTAATTTCCATGTCTAAACCATTTTCTCTAATTTTTCATATCCAAGAACCCTAACCCTAATTTACTAAATTCATGCAATTAAACTTAAATTAATGAGGCAAAATCAACAATCCACGTCAATTAACTAGTTCTTATGATGTGAGTGAGATTAACTTACCTTAAAAGTTCCAAATTAATCCTTGATAGGTTGGATTTCCTAGGAAATTTTGCTTTCTCTTTTCCTCATTAAGTTTCGGCCAAGTTTCAATTTTTTCCTTCTTGCAAATTTTGATCTTTCAACTAAAATTTGGGGCTTAACTAAGTGCTTTAAGGTTTTTTCAGAAGTTTAGGTGGGATCTCTTGAAAATTCCTAAGAAAATTTTACAAGAATTTTGCCTTGATTTTCTAATTTTTCAACATTTTTTCCTTTCCCCTTTTTGCTGAATTTATAAGTGTAATGGGTGGACTTTTGGCTTGTTTGACTTGATCTCCACCCTTCGTTTGGTTTAATCTCCATCCTTGATTCATCTTTTAATCCTAGCCCTTCATTTCGTTTAATTTTAGCCATCCATCCTTCTTTAAATTCTAGCCCCCCCCCCCCAACATCATATTAATCTCTAACCATCCATTTCGCTACATCATTTAATATGGGGCGAGGTAGCTAGTTTAGGTGGAAAGATTTGGCCAAAAATGTCAATTTTAATTCCTTAATTTATCATATTTTTCCAATTACACCCATAATTTTAGTCCCTCCAATTTTAATCGGCTACCTTTGGTCCTTTCATACGGTCTTTTCTACCATCTTTATGCCTCATATTTATTTCAAAACTTATTTGAGAGTAAAGCTTTTAATTTTAAACAATTGGATCCCTAATTTTATGTAATTAGGTCCTTAACCTTGTGCAATTAAATCCTTATGCATATAATTAATTCTACACACTTTCGAAAAATAATTTCTTTTTGTAATAAATTCATACACTTCCTATAGTAATTTATTCATCAATCACATAATTTTTATACATACATTTAAGCACTCAAAATAATTATTTTGCATAAAATGGCACTTATTCATATAGAAAATATTCACCAAGTATAGAAAAATTCACTTAAGTGCATGGAATATTCTTACACCCCTCTAGTAATTTTTCTATGCTCATAGAATAATTTTCACACACATTTAAAATACTCAAAGTAATTATTTTGCATAAAAAGTATTGTTCATACACGGAAAAGCCTATAAAATATTCATCGAGCATAAGAAAATTATCCTAAGTGCATCGAATATTCTAGCACCCTTCTAGCAATTATTCTAGGCACACAAGATAATTTTTATATACGTTTAATATATTTTAATTCATTTATTGGTAGGTTCAGGATATTACAGCCTAGTCTTCCACTAGCGCAAGAGTTTCTACATATTACTTTCATTTGATTTTTGGCGCTTAAATAACTAGTACCTATGCTCGTTATAGCTGTTCAATATTAGCCCCATAGTAAGCTTCTAATTCAATCCTTTGATCAAGCATGTAACCGTTGCTAAGAGAAGAAGTATGATCGTATTAGTCGAACAAGAATCTATGCTCAAAACTTAGGGTGTTTTGTTTTATATTCAATTTCGATGGATAATGGTAGGGGTGAGCAAACAATTATTCGATTTGGTTTCGAACTAATTTGATTCGGTTTTTGATTAATCGAATCAAGAGAAATAATAGCCAAAACTAAATTGAAATAATTTTGGCATTTTGGTTTCGGTTTCGGTTTCGATTAATTCAGTTTAAAATATTTTTTTTGTAAATTATGAATGGGTTTT